TTCGTGAACTTGTAAAAGTGTGATTGAGTAATTTTTAAACTTATTTAATGAACCTTGTTTAACTCATTTTAAATATGGAGAATATAATTAAACTTATATGTTCATATATATATATATATATATATATATATATATATATATATATATATATATATATAACCAAGTCAATCGGTCCGACCAGTAATCCAGTGACTCAATACCTCGACCGAGTCGAGTTTAATAACATTGCTTCTTTGTATTGGAAGTAGCCGCCCAAACAATTAGGAAAGAACAACTTCTAACAAATCTCCCCCTTTGACTCAAGTTGGCGGGTTGTCAACCTTACTCCATAACAATAGTCTTCAAATTTTTTTGTTAGTACCTACTTGGTTATCATGTCAGACCAATTTAGGTTAGTATGTACTTTGTCAAGCTGAAGGTGTTTTACTTCTATCATATCTCGGATCCAATGGTACTGAACATTAATGTATTTTGAACGAGAATGATAGGTAGAGTTTTTTGTTAGATGAATTGCACTTCGATCGTCATACTTAAGCGCATGCATGTCTTGTTAATGGCCGCATTCAAGGAGGAAGTTCTTCAAAGACATCGTTTCCTTGATTGCTTTTATTGCAGCAATATACTTGGCTTTAGTGGTTAAGAAGGCAACACACTTCTACAGTTTAGATTGCTAAGATATTGCTCCCCTGCAAAGATAATCAGGTAACTCGTCGTCAACTTTCTTAAGTCAGTATCACCTCCTAAGTGGACATCCGAGTAGCCTTCCAACTCGGTCATTCCTCTTCCAAAACAGAGACATGGTTTAGTCGTTCCCCGAAGATATGTAAAGATCCACTTGATTACAGTCCAGTGCTTCTTGCCCGAATTTTAAAAAAATTAGCTTACTAGACCAACAACATGAGCAAGATTGGGTGTTGTACACACCATTGCGTACATGAGGCTATCATCAACTGACAAGTTCGAAACCTTCAACATCTTTTCTTTGTCTACATTGCTAGTTAGACTTTACTTTTGATTAAACTTGACGTGTCTAGCTAGAGGAGTATTCACTAACTTGGCTTTGTCTATGTTAAACCCCTTAAGGATCTTCTCAATATATTTCGCAAGAATAACCACAACAGTTTATTTGATCGATCTCGTATGATCTTTATTGCAAGAATGTTTTGTTGGTCCAAGATCCTTTATGGCAAAGGACATGCTCAAGGATTCTATAAGGGCGACAATCTTCTGGTTCTGCCCAACTATCAACATATTGTCAACATAAAGTAAAAGGATTATTAAGTCTCTAGTCTGATACCTTTTTACAAACACACAATTATTGGCTTCTGTCTTCATAAAGTCGTGTTCTAACATGATGGAGACAAATTTCTTGTACTGCTAACTTGGTGCTTTTTTTAGGCCATATAAGCTCTTCTTAACCCAACATACCAAGTGTTTTACTTGGAACCCAGAATCCATCTGGTTGTTCCATATACATATTTTCTTCCAAATCATCATGAAGAAAAGTTATCTTCACATCCCGGTAATTTCTAGGTCCATTGAGGCTGTCACACTGAGTACAATTTGGATTGAGATCATAGTCACCATTAATGAGAATATTTCGTCAAAGTCAACACATTTCTTTTGATTGCAACCTTTAACAATGATTCAAGCTTTGTATCTCGGCTTTAGGTTGTTCTCTTCAGTTTTAATTTTGTACACCCATTTGTTCTTGAGAGCCCGTCTTCCCTCAGGTAGCTTAACCAGGTAAAAAGTGTGGTTTTCATGCAAGGTTGCATCTCTTATATTATTATTATTTTCATTTCATTGTGCTCAGAACTCGTCATTGCTTCTTCGTAGCTTTGACGCTCCCCGTCTTCTGCAATCACAATGTACTTACCAGCAGGGTACTTAGTAGATGGATGATTGTTGAGTTTGTGGTTGAGGTCGTGAGCTCGGTCATCAGTTTCTACCTGGACTTCTGGATGACCTGGTTTTATTCCATCTAACTCGCCTTCTTCGTCTTTTGTTCGCAGTTCTAGTTGTCCGACTTCATCATTGATTTGTAAAGTAGGTTCGCCCCACGTGACTCGGACAGGAGATATAGACTCATCATGGGAAGCAACCCAAAGTTTTGGTTTCTTGATGTCTACGATTGTTTGGTCATCATAGAAGATTACTTCTCGACTTCTAACTATTTTCTCGTTGACGGGGTCCTTAAGTCGAAATCCAAACACACTTCTTGGTTATATGAGGTGTATGCACTATTTGGTCTTTGCGTCCAGTTTAGCACACTCTTCTTTAGGAATGTTGACAAAAACACAACATCCAAAAACTCTTGGGTGTTTATAGATGGATTTATTACCAATCCAAACTTCTTTCGGGATCTCTCTTTCTAGAGATCTTTAGGGTGATAAATTTATTAGGTCCACTGCTATTTTTCAGCCTCCTTCAAGAATAACTTTGGCAGCCTGATATGTGATAACATGCTTCGAACGTACTCTTCAATGGTTCAGTACATCCTTTTTGCAACTCCATTCAAATGAGGCATTTTGTAGGAGTTTTCTATAATTTGATGCATGATGACATGCAAATGGTCCTCAATATTTGCCTTCATTGTCATCCCAAACAATTTTCAACTTCTTCTCGATCTCTCTTTCTACTAGGGCATATAATTCTTTGAATGCTTGAAGAATTCAATCTTTTGTTTTAATAAAAATACCAAAGCTTTCTACAATGATCATCAATAGAGTAACAAAATAGAATATCCCATTGAGCGATCTTTTCGACATGGAACATACATTAGTGGGAACTGATTCAAGAACACACCTTCTCCTTGTGGGATGATCCTGCCCTAAGAATGATATCATGCGTTGCTTGCCAGCCAGACAATGTGTGCAGTCTTCTAGAAGTTGGCCGTTCAACCCGGGAAGCAAACCATTCTTGGTCAATATTTGGAGTCCTTTCTCACTCATATAGCCAAGCCTTTTGTGCCATAGTTCCATACTTTATCCTTCTTAGATAACATTAGTTTCTCTGCATCATGGCTACTGTCTTCCGATTTAGGAGCTCTTATTGTTTTTCATTCTTTCCCTTTGGCATCTCGACACTCAAGGTGCGTTCATACATGTCTTTATAGTAAATATGGTCCTCCATTATTGGCTTCCAATATGAATAATTCTCTGTGATAAGTTTCGACATATCACCGTCATGTGATACACTACTTTCCATCTCTGATACCACTGTTGGGTCAAAAGATCATCTTAGTTAGAGCGAAAGAAAATAGAAGCTAAATTCATCAAGTCAAGTTGATGAACCCAAAACTTGGAAGTCGACCATTATCAGGTCAACGAAATAAAAGAAAAAGAGTAGTAGAAGAAGGAGAAATACACACAGGTTTTTAATGTGAAAACCCCCTTTAGTGTGAGGAATAAAAACCATGTGACTTAGTCTAGAAAATAGTCCACTATATAAAGTAGGAATACAAGATGATGTTCTTCCCTAGTACACCACTAGAGGATTACACAATTTTCTCACCTGCTCTTTAGGATGAAGTATCTCTCTTGTTCGGAAGAGAATTCTAACACTCTGACTATTGTTCTATAAAGAATTCTAATTTCTCCTCCTATTTATAGATGATCAAGGTTCATTTTTCTATGATCTAGATTTCTCTACAATTATTGGGGGGGAATTTCCTAAGTATGGAGACTTGCACTTCTTAGTGTTGAAATGTGTAGCCGCCTAAATAGTTAAGGAAAAACAACTTCCAACATGATAATAGGGCATTTTTAGTGCACGGTATATGATAAAGTTTGATAATATAAGATCTGATAGTATAAGGCATAATTGTATAAGACTAGATCAAATTTTGATACTATCCTCAGCGTTTGGCATGATATTGTATAAGATAATGTATTATATGAGATAATATCATCTAGTATTTGATAATGTACTGTATAATACCAGATAAAATAAAAATAAATATTTTTTACAAAAATACACTTTAATAAAGAATTTATATAATTCGTCTAAATGTGCCATATGATATTAATTTTTATAAAAAACTATTGATCAGTGTGTCCATAAAATATATTAACTTTTATAAAAATAAAAATCTCCAATATTTTAAAAATTAATATATTGAAAAAAAATTATTTTAATATATTAATATTAAAATAATATATTAATTCTTGAAAATTACACTGATCAACGATGCTAATATATCAACCCCTTATCAGGGGCTTAACCCACTTCCTTAGACTTGATTAAGTTATACATCATTTTGATATATTAAGAGATTCCGCTATATAAACTTATATTATACGATAGTCACACCAAATAACTAAAAATATTATAACGTATAATATAAACTTATATTATCAGGCTTTATGCATCACACCAACAGGCCTTATGGCAATACCTCACATACAGTAACGAATGCTCAATTATGTGAATTCAAGAATATTCTAGACAACAATTTTTATTTTTATTTTGGCACAATAGACGGGCTGAGCCCCAGCGAAGAGAAAACATAGAAAAACCAAACAACAACTAAAGTAGAAAGATAAAGACAAATCAGAAACTAATAAGAAACAATAAGATAAGCTTGATCAGATCATGGTGGGGATAAGAATTTGATGTAGTTTCCCTTGCCTGTGGACACTGCATCTTTAGCTAACAAATCAGCAGAGGTGTAGCTACTATTGATGTGGAAAAATTTAATAACCCAATCATTGTTTGTCCATTTCTTTAATCACTAGAAGCATCATGAAATATATATTTTTTTTTATGAAAAATGGTAGTCAAAATTCTTGTTAGAATGATGTGACATGTCTGTTAATTCTAGACTGCATCAATAATCTGTATTACTTCATTCAATCCAACAACCACTCTTATTTTTTCGTTCGGACCTTTTTTACTTAGTGAATAACATTGGACACCACTTAAACTCCTATACTTTCATTATCGTATTAAATATATACGGCCAATTTGGAAACTAAATATATTTCATCAGAACAAGAATCGTGACAAAAACACAATTCGGTCATGTAGCCAAATCAACTATCATTGCTCTAACATATATACAAATATAACATAAGCTACAAATACAATGGCTCAAAAACATATCATTGCAACTACACTGCCAAGATTATTTTAATCTTAGGCTTAATGGCTTTTTCCAAGTCCACATGTTGACTGCTGCTTGCTTTTCTACTAGACACGACACCACAAATAACTACTCAAAAAGAATTTCCTAAAAGAACCTGATTGGTAGGCTGTGCAGTCAAAGAATGTACAGTGCTATAGCAATAATATAAGGATGGACACATAGACGTTTTTGCAAAATACTCCTTAGACCTTTTCCAGGCTACATCTCCACTTTCTTAGCTGTTAGTTACTGAATATGCACTTCCAGGAACCTTGACTAAAAGCTCATCCTCAAGTATACTACTACCTCGTACCTCGAGAAGCCTATGGTCCTGAATTTTATTCAAAAAGTGATGTGAATAAGAGATCATAACATCTTCCGGATTATAGAAAATAAAATTATCTTCTACACACATATAAAAATGTGAGATTCTACACATACATAAAAGTGTATGGAATTCATATTTTCTTTTTCTCTCTCTTCTCTTCATATTGCCCTATATGGGTCCCATACACTTTTATATACATGTAGAAGATAATTTTATCTCTTATAATATGAGAAACTTCAAACCCTTAAATAAAATTACTTCCAAAGCATGAAAGAGTGATTCAGGCAAGGTATAAAATTACTGTCAGGCACTATATAGTATAAAATCCTTGATTATAAAGGATGGAAAGCAATATTTAAATTACAGTCGCAATCAACATGGAAATGGCACATAAAACATACACAACATAGGCATAGCGCCAATACAGCAGAATCTTGAAAACAAAATCAATACAGAACGGCTAGGTGAATAACCAATATTAAAATACATTAAAATAACTAATCTGAGATCCATCACATACTATTAAGAATTGAAGAATACCTGGCCAATGAAATCTAGTCATTCAAAATGCATGCAGATGAATCTTATTATATTACAACCCCACCCGACACAGTGCACCAAACTGAAGAGCCACAAGCAATTTAAAATTTGAATCCAAGTATGGCAGTTTCCAAATGCACCTTTACCGGCCACCTAAGATTTGAATGGCTACAACCATAAATCCGTTTGGTTTGGAATAGTGTAAAGGTGTGATAGCATTTCTTTGAACAGATTAGTGCCAGCATTATATATCAGACGGACATAATTGTTTATCATTCTCATTTCTATAATTTAAGAAAAGAAACATATTCATCATTCAAGAGTCAACTAGCACTGGTTCCATCTTTGGCCCAAGCATATGCATGACAAACAAGACGTAAAACTGAGGATGTTTTGTGATACAATAGAGGTGTAAGGATATGTTCAACTTTCAAGCTGCATCTGACAGAGATCTGTCAACTGTGAGATGAATAGCTTCAAAACCAAACAATATTATCCTTACACAAATGGGATGAATGCCTGACATAAGGTGTGTCATGCAGTTACTCACATTTGATACATCTGACAGACTGGCACACAACACACCACCAGGGAATGCATGCCTATATGCATCAGCAGAAAACGGAATTATGCTTGCAACATACCTTAGAGCCAAGAGCATCCTTCAGATCATTTTTCATGCTATTCATTAATAATTTCAGTTGTTTCCTGGCATTTGCTCTTGCTATGCGTCGTTCAGAACTCTGTGCAGCAGTAACATCATAATGGCAGGCTACACACAGAGTCCTCATATTCTCCAGTTTGCATTCACCTATAGATATAATTAAATAAGGTATAAAATTCAAACCTAAAGCTAAATCTATTTTTTCTGCAAAATAGAGGGAATAGCAAGGTGACACATATAAAAGTATTTTCGTTGAAAATTAAAGGTATAAAATTCAAACACTCAAAGCTAAAATCTAACTATTCTGCATGCAAAGGATGGAGACATATATATACATCTCAGTAGAAAATCTATAGAACAGAAAAAAGACGAAAAGCAAAATAATAAATTAGCCAAAACTGTTAGATAAATGATTTCCAATCTTCCATGGAACATTAATGAAATGTGGTTAAACTCAACCACCATTTTAGGGTTCTTCTAGTATCACTAAAGGTCAAACTCCGGTGCATAACAGCATAAGGCCCCTCAACTTTGCGAGACTTGGGGTGAGGAGCAATTGTACGTAGTCTTCCCCTTACATTTTTGCAAAGAGACTATTTCTTGTAATGACAAATTGATAATCAGTTCCATTACATACAGAAATCGTTATAAGGTTACTTTTAATATTAAAGAACAACAATCAAACACTGGGTAACAAATGGCACCTAAAGGAATCTAAAAAAGCAAGGTTTCAAATCTTCAAAAATAACAATGAATTCAGCAGATATATCCCCATTTGACTGGTGCTAAACGAAAGAGTAAAGGGATAAAGAAAGAAAAGAAAGCTCAGAGAGATTAAGAGATTAAGATAATGAATTTTGCAACTTGCAAGCATGGCTTCCTGAGCCACGAGCTGCGATTCTAGATCTTCAAAGTTGCTCGAGTCTCTTCCTTAGAAGTAGGTGATGAAGGGACCATAATCTTCGGGCAATCCTTCAAGAACGGTTTGTATAAGTTCACGCTCAGAGAAGGTGATGTTTCGCAATTCAGAACTGACTTGATTCGCCTTTGCTTTGGTCACTGAATCGAAGTATTTATGAATCTTGTCCCATGCTAGATGAGACTGACGCAGCCAAGAATTTCATTGATGATTTCCTCTGATAAATTAGACTGAAGCCATGAAAGAAGCATCTTATCAGATTTTTCCAACTCGATGAAAGCTGGATTTACGATTTCTGCAGCTCGATCTTCTTCTGATTGAAAGCATAGAGGAATTTTTGGATTAACTAGATATTGATTTCTGCAGCTCGCCATAACACATTGAGAGCTACTCTAATAGGTGCGCATATTGGGGTCGACGTTCGAAAGCCCCATTTGGTCCTCAGCTGTGTGAGTTCTGCTGATTAGATCCCAATTGTTAGCACAAAATGGGCTGGTTGTGGACTGTTGATGCCCAACTCAAACCCAGCCTGCAGTCGGTTATACCTGTAGGAATGAAGGCTCACTGGCATATTCTCCTCGAAACACAGCACTTAATCAAATTCCTGACTCCTGAGCCAATCTCATCACGTTGAGTATCTCTTTCAATTCCAGATGCACATTCATACGTCGTCCTTCGAACCATTAAGGAAATAACCCAGATAGTGTTCATTGGCTAGAGATGGAAAGGGTGACCATTGTTCTTGCTCATATTTTGTTCCAATCGAATTTCCCTTCCACCTCATCTATCAGTTTTTCATTATTCTTGCCCAATAACCATTATACAGTTTCCCTTCTTCCTTCTAGAATAAACTATCCACAGCTGTGGACTTTCCTCAAACATGTCGGGGCCTAAAGTGTTATCCCTAACAAAATTTTACTGAATTCAACAAGTAATTGTAGCTGTATACAGTCATCTTACTATTTAGAGAATTATTACATCATGTTGAGATATATAAAACCATTAAAAAATCCTCACCCACCAGCTTAAGCTTTTGGGTTGAATTGGTTCTTTACATGGTATCAGAGCCTCGCCGCCCCCCACTTTCTCTTGTGAAATTTCTTAGCACAGGTAGGCTGGGCCTGTTGCATCATCCACTCTTCAAGCCCAATGGGCTCTTGCGTGAGGGGGCGTGTTGAGATATATAGTCCCATATTGGTTGTATGAGCAACTAATGTGGAATTTATAAGGCCTTGGGTACTCCCACCCTTTGAGGTAGCTTTTGGGGTGGTGTATCTCAAGGTTCTTTACACATCATAATACCCAAATCACAGGGATAATCAGAGAAAAGAAAGTTTCTGAAAATTACTCTCTGTATTCATTCAGAATAAAAGGTTACACTATAAACACTACAGTAAGCTCGGGAGAGAAAGAAAAATAATAAAAAAAACAACAGCACCTAAACTTCAGCATATAGACAGAAAACTCCCAAAAATAGTAAAGAGAGTAACTTTACAGTTAATAATTCCATGATTTCAGGATTGTTTCAATAAACCTTTGAGATTCAAATTTAGAATCCAACAACCTGATTACATGAATGTTTCACATACATCAAGATTTTATATTGGCTCTTCCGTTGAACCAATTAAAACCAGAGTTGAAAGTACCGGAGTTTTAAAAGTTCAATTGCTGCCAAAAATATATGTTTAAATAGAAGTTAAATAGTACAGTATTCTCAGAAACATAATCAAGTAAATGGTCGTTTCAAGGAAAAACAAGTCACTAAATGTAAAATTTGATATTTTAACTCTGCCTGAAGCAATTATTATACTTCAAAATAAATTATACCTCCGCCTTGATATACTGGAACAATATGATCAGCATGCCATGCATTGCCTTCAGTTGGATCATTGACAAGCTTCTCAAGCCTGCAGATGATCAACTAGTGTTTAAGACTGTTGGTGTCTGGTAAATAAGCAATTTTATTAACAGTCTTCCGTACAGAAAGTCTTTTAACAATCATATAATGTCGTTTAACATCATAAGAGAATAACTTCAGGTCACTTTCATAGACTCACATGTTCTTGCGCTTTGCAACTTTTGGTGCTACTTTCTCAATGTACTCTCGTCGTCTTTCCAGTGACAAAGGTCTTATATGCTCAACAAGCTTATGACAGTTCAATTGGCAATTTGTGCACACACCTTGTTCAATTTGGAAAAGTTCCTGAAGATCTCATCTCAAGTACATTTAATACTAGCTCAGAGACAGGACAAAACTACACAGACTGTTTCTAATGAAGAGCATCCAAAAATAAAGCAAAATTAGTCAAATACGTTCTGATTTGAATGAATATGGTCAATGTTCTAACCTGACGGAGGAATCTGTTGCTAGTTCTCATGCGATACTCTTCGAAGCAGATGAGATTACAAAAAAGATCTTCAAAAAATTCAGGTGTCTTGGCATTGTTACCCCTGAAAGTAGAGATATTAATTGAAGACAAAAAAATAAAATAAAAGCAAGATATGATTGGTATAGGACTTACATGCACTGCTTTTGACAAAGCTTACAGAGTGGCTCATCTGTCAGGCTCCAGCCTTGAGTGTATTCTTTTTCCTTCTTACCGAGGCCACTTCGCAGATAAACCTTTCTCCAGACAGCATCTGATGGTAAAGGATAGCTAACCTCTGTTAAAGGTGTCATCCGTCGTTTACTTCCACCATTTAATAATCCCTGTCAATCATAGACTTTTGCTACATTATATATGCCTCCAAAGAACCAAAAAAAAAGGATGAACATATTTTATAAAAAATGATCATATATCCATTAAAACAGAGTTCAAGTTTACGGTGCACACCCTGTTGTTGTGATTATTGCTTTCATTCAAGTAGCATAACTCAACAGCCAAAGGAAGTTGTAATGGTTTTCCAAGTAACTTCTTCCGTTCAATTGACCTCAAATTCTTCCACTCATTTGCAAAATCCAGAAGAGCATGCCTATAAGCCGGGTTGTCCTTGATAGATACAAACTCTATCTTTCTTTTCTCATCATCAGCAACAGAACTCAGCAACTCGAGTTCCTCTGGTCGGAAATTTTTATGAAGTGGCTGTGGTCTTGTATCTGTACCCAAAATGCAAGTGTACAAGTGGATCCTTCCAGTGTATGGGCTCACCTGAAGAGCAAGCACATGTTATTCCTGTATTTGTAAGAATGATGAACTGCGCTATCCAATCTCTGTGCATAATACCAAGGCGATAAGCACAACCCTATCCCATAACACAGGTAAGGCCACCTACATGCACTTGAAGATGTGCATATTCTACTCTAACTAAATACACCAAAGAAAAGCATAAATCCCACACTACAACCACAAAGTTTAAGCTCCCTTATTCTTTTTAAAACAGGCTTCAGAAACATGAGGAAAGTCACACTACAGGGTTGAAAGCAACATCAGAAATCAAATAAGCATATATTTGTCTCAAGAACTTTGCTTCTACTACGTAGAGTATTAACCAATGAGCCAATTACTTACAGGACTAAGTCTAACATCAACTTTATTTTCTTGTACAATGAACCGACTTAAGTCTAACATCAACTTTACCAAGTAAGTTTTACCTCAAATCGCAGAGAACCAACTTGATTAGAGCAATGTTCATCAGCTTCAACCAGATGAACAAGCTCTTTCTTATCTGCTTCTGTTGTTGAAATTGATTCCTTATCCTGCAACTGAAAAATAAGAGACCCTTAGGCACTCACAAACACACATGAACTAAGTGTGGTTATTATCTCCATTAGAAAGTTGCATGAAAATGCACCTCTGTTACTTGATCTCTGACTTTAAAATTCTTTTCAGAACATCTCTTCTCGGCATCATAAACATAAACATCAAGATTTTCATCCAAAACCAAAGCCTTGCCTAGATCAATGTTAGAGCAATGTTCCTCAGATTCAACCGGATTAACTGGCTCTTTCTCATCTGCTTCTGTTGTTGAAATTGATTTCTTATCCTGCAACTGAAAAATAAGAGACCCTTAGGCACTCACAAACACACACATGAACTAAGTGCAGTCATTATCTCCAATAGAAAGTTGGAATGAAAATGCACTTTTATTACTTGATCTCTGTCTTCGAAACTCTTTTCAGAACATCTCTCCTCAGCATCAAAAACATCTACATCAAGATTTCTATCCAAAATCAAAGCCTTGCCTAGACCTCGACAGGAAACATTATCAACCTATTCTACCAACAAAATAGAATAATTAAAAAAAAGCAAGTAATAGAGTGAATAAACAAAGACAACAAAATACCATGCTAAAGTGAGGGAAAACAAAAACTATAAGTCTTACCATAATATTAACACTATGAATTGAGTTATTGACAAAAGTTAGCTCATCAGAATTATCATCTTCATTTGCTTCTGATTCATTCAAATTTACTGCAGAAGGTTGCTTATCCAATTGTGTTTCACTTGATGCATCTTTGCATTCAGATTCCTCTTCACAACTATCAGTTTTTAAAGATGTGTCTAAATAAGAAACACCTTCAACCTGCCACCCAACATCCCCAAAAGGAACCTGATGTTATACAAGAGAACACACACACACACTGATAAGAATTTAATCCCTTCTATCAATTAAGAGGGAGACACTTTGTATATTAATAAAAGGAACGATTACAATAAGATTTGCAACAGAAAAAAATGAAAGAGCCAAGGCTCCCTGCTAAGGAGATAACTCCACTAGCCCCCTCTACACCAGTAGGAAATTAACAAGTTAATCGATACCCTCTCACTCCTACTCTCCATCCCATATAAACCTCTCCAGCAACAATGAAAGCAATAACAACAATAACAAACCCCTCCACTCACTCTCTCTCCAAAACCGTTTATTACAAATTACGCGTCACACAATTTCCCTATTCCTATTCTTTCTGTGATAAACCAGCATTGGTTCATTTCTCCTTTGCTTGGGCTGTTGTTCCTCTACATTCATGGGCTGCTCCTTTTCCTCTATACATGGGCCTGCATCTGTTGGGCTGCTTGAAGTTGCACGTCTCTTATCAATACCACCCTCTTTAGATACTGTCTTGTCCTCAAGACAAAACATAGGAAATTGCCCTCTAACATCATTAGCTTGCATCCAGGTAGCTTCTTCAACAGGTTTGGATTTCCAGAGAACCAACCATTCTTCCACAATGCTGCTCCCTTCCTTGACATGTCGCACAGCCAAGACAGATTCTGGAGCATGAATATTATTTTCCTCCACCGCCATACCTGCTGGTAATTCACCTTCAGCTAAAACAGATCCGATGGCCTTCCTCAACTGGGACACATGAAACACGGGATGGATGTGAGAACCTTCCGGAAGCAACAGCTTATAGGCCACTGCCCCAACCTTCTGCACAACCTGGAAAGGACCGTAAAATCGTGCAGCCAACTTGGGGTTGATACGCCTAGAGACGGACATCTGCCTATGCGGTCTCGGCTTGACATAAACCCAATCTCCAATGGCAAATGCTATGTCCCGACGGTGAATGTCAGCCTGTTTTTTCATAGAAGACTGGGCACGAATCAAATGGTATTTCAGCTGGCGTAGAGCTTCATCTCTGTCATATAAGACTCTGGATACAGCATCCACTTGGGTTTCTCCCACCAAAAAATGTGTAAAATTAGGAGGAGGACGACCATAGACAGCAGCAAAAGGAGTAGTGCCAATGGAGCTATGGTAAGATGAATTATACCAGAACTCAGCCCAGGAAATCCAAAGTGACCACAGCTTGGGTTGCTCCAAAGCAAAACAACGTAAATACGTTTCAAGGCAACGGTTTACCACCTCGGTTTGGCCATCCGTTTGAGGATGATAGGAAGTACTCATTTTTAAAACAGTCCCTTGCAGACGGAACAATTCTTTCCAAAAATTGCTAAGGAAAAGAGGATCACGGTCACTTATGATGGACCTGGGCACTCCATGAAGGCGAACAATTTCTTTGACAAATAAGTCAGCAACGTGCTTAGCAGTAAAAGGATGCTTAATCAAAATAAAGTGAGCGTATTTGGATAAACGATCTACTATTATGAAAATCACCTCATAACCTTGGGACTTAGGGAGCCCAGAGATGAAGTCCATGGAGATATCCTCCCAAATCAGCTAAGGCACAGGCAATGGTTGAAGGAGCCCAGCAGGAGCCAAAGTCCGATGCTTGTGTCTTTGACAAACGTCACAAGATTTCACAAAAGCCATAATACGTTTTTGCATTCCCTTCCAAAAAATACCACTAGCAAGCCTTTTAAATGTACGGGTAAAACCCGAATGGCCACCGGTTGGTGATGAATGGAATTCCCTTAACAACTCAGGAATGAGAGAGGAGTTGGAAGACAACACCATGCATTTTTTATAAAACAGCAACTCTCCATGTAAAACATAGTCACCAGGAGCAGCTTGTCCAGATTAGAGGGCTGTGAGTATACCCTGCAAAAACAGATCAGACTTGTACTCAGCCTTAACGACATGCAGATCCAACCAATAGGGACTGGACACCAAACTCGAAAGCTCAAGGTTCCCTGGTTCCATCATTCTAGAGAGGGCGTCCGCGGCTTTATTTTCGGGCCCAGGCTTGTATACAACCTCAAATTGGTACCCCATTAGCTTAGACAGCCAACAATGTTGATCAGAGGTGGTGATACATTGAGACAATAAGTGCTTTAAGCTCTTGTGGTCTGTATACACAGTAAAGGAACGCCCCAAAAGATATGGACGCCAGTGTTGTATGGCAAGGGCTAGGCCATAATCTCCTTCTCATATACTGACTTTGCAAGATTTCTGGGAGCGAGTGCTTTGCTATAATAAGCTATAGGCTGCTTCTCTTGCATTAACACAGCACCTAGACCCGTACCAGAGGCGTCACACTCAATCACAAATTCTTTAGAGAAGTCAGGCAGGGTGAGGACCGGAGCAGAAGTCAGTAGCTCCATATGTTGATCAAAAGCTGCCTTGGCCATATCATTCCAAAGGAAGCCACCCTTCTTAGTGAGTTCAGTCAACGGTTGAGCAATCTTGCCATAGTTTTTAATGAAACGTCGGTAGTAGCCAGTCAGACCCAAGAAACCACGAACTCCCTTCACATTACATGGTTGTGGCCAATCAATTACAGCCTGAATTTTTGAAGGATCCATGGCTACTCCTTGAAAGGAAATCACGTGACCCAAATACTCTACAGACACCTCTCCAAAGCTGCACTTCTTCCTGTGAACGACCAGGTGATGTTCCTGCAACAATGACATAACTTCTGCCAAATGGCATAGGTGAGTTTCCCAAGTGGGACTATACACAAGGATATCATCAAAAAAAACCAAAACAGTTTGGCGAAGTTGCTTCCTAAAAACTGAGTTCATGGTAGATTGGAAGGTGGACGGTGCATTTGTTAGGCCAAAAGGCATAACAAGATACTCATAGTGTCCATCATGCGTACGGAACGCAGTTTTGGGAGTATCCTCCGTTCTAACCCTGATCTGGTGAAATCCCGATTTCAAGTCAATTTTTGAAAAGTATCTAGCACCATAAAGCTCATCCAGCAACTCAGTAATGGTAGGAATTGGATACTTATCTGGGATGGTGACTTTGTTCAATGCCCGATAGTCCACACACATCCTCCAAGTTCCATCTTTCTTCTTGACTAGGATGACTGGACTGGAAAAAGGGCTGACACTGTGTCTAATTTCCCCCTCTTGTAATAACTCCTTCACTTGCCTTTCAATCTCATCCTTATGGTGATGAGCATATCGGTATGGTCGAACACTGACTGGACCCGTGCCCGGCATCAGGTTGATGGCATGGTCATGCTCTCGAAATGGTGATAGCCCCTGTCTCTTGTCGAAAACACTCTGGAACTGATCAAGGACCTGTGTCAGGCTCCTTTGCTGCTCCTCGGTCAAAAACGTAAGTTTTGACTTCTCAGCCCCAATTTCCACTCCTTTTTCCTTAGTTTTTGCATCATGCAACAGTCCTCGAAGGGCTACAGGTTGAACCCCAGCACGAATCTGGTACCCTCGAAGCAGGACCGTCTTCCCTTGGTGAGAAAACTGCATCGTCTTCTTCTTCCAGTCTTGACACACTTCGCCTAGAGTCTCCAGCCACTCCATGCCTAAGATGAGATCGACACCACCCAAATCTAAAAGATAGGCCCCTATCGTCATACGATGTCGTCCTAATTGAAGCCTGAGTTCTGTGCACCGTCCTTTAGAGAAACGCCGACTACCGTCTCCAAGACAAACGCTGAACTCTTTGGTGTCTTTGACCGACAGGTTTAACGAATCGACGAGCTCTGGAGCGATGAAGTTGTGGCTCGCTCCACTATCGAGCAACACCAAGATCGGGAATCCTTCCAACTCTCCTTCGATCTTCATCGTCTTCGTTTGGACCACCGCGTCAGGTTGTTGTCCGCCGTCGTTCTCCGTCTCACAAATGACATGGTTGCATTCCATCTCCCAACCCTCGGTTCCCTCTTTCTCTTCTGTACTGGTAGGGTCATTTGGTTCCCCTACGACGTCGTCCTCTTCCCATACCAGCAAACGCAAGTGATTGTCTGGACATTGATGGGTTGGACTGTAATTTTGCCCACACTTAAAGCAAAGGCCCTTGGCCCTCCTCTCCATCATCTCATTGTGGGGTAGGTTTCTGTATCCTTTAAAATTGGGCCCACTTCTCCTGTCACCTGGCCTGTTGGGCCTTTCCTCTGGTTTAGTTGCTTGGGCTGGACCTCCTACAGAACGATCAGTTTTATGTACAAAACGGTCACCGCATGTTACAGTCACACTCCTCGACGAAAATGACTTGGATCGCGCGGTGGTGGTTTCCACTTCCCTCCTGACAACTTACGCTCTACCGTCCTGGCGATGGAAATCATTTTGTAGCGGTTGGGAGGTTCTAGGGACAGCACCTCCAATTTAATTTCTTCCTTGAGTCCACCGACGAACAGACCCATGTACTGGTCATCAGGCATAGGGGAGATCTGAGCTGATAACATTTCGAAAGATTCAACGTATTCATCCACCGTACCTCCTTGTATCAATTCCTTTAATTGAGCAAAAGGATTGCCAAAATGACCGTCACCATAACGATCAAACAAGGTGTGCTTGAATCGTTCCCAATCCAGTTGTGCATCAGATTCCTTGAGCACCTTGAACCAGTGCCATGTGGAACCTTCCATGCAGATCTGGGCATACTGAATGCGCATGGTAGGAGGAGTGCCCTGTACAGAAAAGTAAGCCTCAGCCCTCGCAGCCCAACCTACCGGATCTGTCGCGGAGAAGACTGGAAGCTCGATTCGTTTGGCCTTAATTCGATAATCGTCACTCTGATTCTCAGTATGAGAAATCTTGACGGGTGTTTCGTTCTCACCATTGTTTTCTATCCCCTTTTGTTTCGAATTTTCACTGCTTTCTGCTACAGTGGGCCGACCCAGTTCAAATACCCACTTCGTGAGTGTCTGGGGAAGGGAATACTCTAGGCAGTCTTTCCCCTGCTTTTTGCAGAGAGGCTGATTCGAACCCGCGACCTGACACACCACGGCAAGCAAGCTTACCGCTGAGCCAAGCCGGCCCTTCTGCTACAGTGATAACCGGAATTCCTGTCGACGAACTACGATTTTGGAACCCATCTTTCATCTCCATGTGTAATACGTGTAAACTCTTCGCGATATCGGCGACGCTGGTTACCAAGGTGCCTAGCTTAACGGAGTGATCCGAAAGCTGAGTGGAATGGCCCTTTGACGTAATCTCTTGTGAACGGAGGATGGTCTCCTGAGTGCGAAGCGAATTTTCCATTGTTGTCATTCTATTTTCAAGGGTGTCTACGCGTTGTGAAGTCATTCTGGTGAGCATACACTACTCAACGTTACACTCCCTCACACAATCACAATAAACTCTCAATGAAAGCACCAATTTGATAAGAATTTAATCCCTTCTATCAATTAAGAGGGAGACACTTTGTATATTAATAAAAGGAACGATTACAATAAGATTTGCAACAACAAAAAATGAAAGAACCAAGGCTCCCTGCTAAGGAGATAACTCCACTAGCCCCCTCTACACCAGTAGGAAATTAACAAGTTAATCGATACCCTCTCACTCCTACTCTCCATCCCATATAAACCTCTCCAGCAACAATGAAAGCAATAACAACAATAACAAACCCCTCCACTCACTCTCTCTCCAAAACCGTTTATTACAACTCATTACGCGTCACACTATTTCCCTATTCCTATTCTTTCTGTGATAAACCAGCATTGGTTCATTTCTCCTTTGCTTGGGTTGTTGTTCCTCTACATTCATGGGCTGCTCCTTTTCCTCTATACATGGGCCTGCATCTGTTGGGCTGCTTGAAGTTGCACGTCTCTTATCACACACACACGCCCGCGCACACACACACTTCATAAACATTTAAAAATATCTAACATTTTTATTTTCTAATAATAGCACGGAAAGTATATCTTATTAGATTATCAAAAGTTAAAATTCTGAAGACAAAATCTTTGACTGAAAAGGTTATGCACTACTGAAACCCAAATAAGATCCCAACAAGTCCAAGAACTATGTTAACGACTGATGATAAATAAATCATTCAATTGAACTAAATGCTAAGCTTATGGCGATGTTATCACTTGGAAAAACCACCAATCTGTTTCAGTCATCCCATAAGATGGAAAGAGAATTTATCCATGTCATAGAGTATACAAAATATACAAATTGTCAAAATCCATCAATGTGTTTATTGCATAAGTTGGAATGGGCATTCATTCATATTTCATTGAGCTAAAACGTATACAAATTGTAAATGTGTGTGAGGAGTATACAACTCTGGACAAACTAAATGCTTAAGAAATTGTTTTATGAATATTTATAAAATCTTTTAAAGGTTTAGTAATTTGAAATAAATGGTAGACCCATAATTAAAAGCATGTGTAAATTCAAGATTTAAAATAGCCTATTGGTATAATAAAGAAAGTTTGCAAACATCTGTGCTTTTCAATATGAAATTAAGCTTTTCTAAAACAAGAAAAACCGACAGTGACTAGCAAATAAAAGCACTAAAAACTGAAAGAGTGATACCTCTATCTCTTTCTTTGCATCATATTTGCCATCTGTTGTACATGAAACACGGTGCAAACTTTTGTTCAAATTTTTCCAATGCGATTCATCCAAAGTATCCTGCAGATGGGTCATACCATTATACGCTAATTGAGAGAGAGATAGAGAGACTTGAAAGGAGAAAACTGAAACACTATTATTCTCTAACGAAAACATGTACAAAGGTTACACTATTTATAGACTAACGGGCCTAATGGGCCTAAGGAAATAAACCCAAATAATGAAATGCAATAATTAACCTAATTTCAAATATATACAAGAGAGAGAGATAACAAGAAGCCCCAATACCAAAACATCAGAATAAGATGAGAGCCTAATCACCTTTGCACAGAAAATGTATACATTAACTGCATTTGTTTGCCCCCGTCGGTGAGCTCTATCCTCAGCCTTCAAAACATAATCACATTATTAGCATAAGATATACTGTTAAGATATCAGGAATACCCACACATCTTACACTTCATTGTATGATGGAGCCATCAACTACGACTGGAACAACAGATCAAACAAATTGTATGTAATTGCTATAATTTAGAAAATCTTCACTAGTGTAATCTCTTAGGTAATAGTTATCAACACTGCATCAGTTTCATGGTCAAAAAGACTGCAACAAGTGCAGTGTGCAACACTAGGCATGATGATTGAAGAAAGATGAAAATATGTTCCATTACAGGTCTGTTGTCTTAGTGTTTCCCAAGTGTTATTTTGAATGAATCCACCCGTTCTGATTTCCCAATAAGATATTACAACTATCTTATACAGATGCAACCAAAATTTCATTGTTTTTGTTCCTTTGAAGGTGGTCATTTTCAGATGTAACTACACTACCATTATCATTGAAAATCCAGCACCAGAATAAGAGACACTCAAAGCACAGTATTGACGTAACATAATAAAGACATCTTCATTATTGTAAATCATACAACAATAAGACTATTTTATTTATTTTGCTACAATAATTAGTTTTCTGCACTTTGGGATATGCAATCTTCCGCAGAATCTTTTGCAGTTATCTTGATAATACATTTGCACAAACTGTTCGAAACCAAATGGATGTTTTTATAATCAATTGTCATGACAAGAGAAAACACAAGTACAGGCAAATGAGACCTATCCTACAAGCCAACAGCACTTGTAAGCAAAAATTTATAAATGAAATGATATTCCATCAAACAGAACCTGAAGCATCAGAGAAGGGCACTGAGGTAGCTCCAAGAACACAACATCTTGTGCTGTCGAGAAATCAAGTCCAAAACCAGCTGCTAGAATACCTATGATCGCAATTTTAACCTGACATAAATGTGACATAAATGAAAAGGCCAAAAAGTCCACACTTGTCTGAATGATATAGATGACATGGAGCACATGCTGCATGTATGTGCATATGAAAGTAGGACACTGAAAGGTAGATGGTTTGATGGTAACAAAAATGTTCAGTAAGATTGTTTTTAAGGAATTACACGATTCTTAACACAGTCAAATTGTTTTTTTAATAAGTGGAGCACCAGACTTAATCTTAAATGATACATGTAAATTTGTTTACTAATGATAATTGATAAGTAATTCATGCATGCCCGCAACTACTTTAAAAAAAATTATACATCAATTCGGCAAATAGAATAACAATGAAAACGAGATTGATCAATAGAAAATAATACTACATCAAAGTTTTTATTTGTGCAACAGACAACACAAAGAATCAAAAAATTATAATTATTCCAACATGCAATCAAATTATGAGAAAAAGTTATGATACCTCTGGTGATGATCGAAATGAGACTACTGCTGATTGCCTGTCTTTGGCAAGAGTATTTCCATCGATTCGAATAAAACTTATCCCTTTCTCGCATATAAACTCCTGAATGGTTCAGAAAGGCAAACTTTATATCAGGAATTAAATCTAAATGTTTGTGGGACATCAAAGTCATCAAAGCACCAGAGGCCAAAGTAAACATAAAGTATGATGACAGTCAATTCAAATGAAAGGACAAGAAGTCAAAAGGAGTTACAACATGAGGAACTCCAGTCACCAAACTGGGTCACAAGTTGTCTAAGTGAATTTAAAAGTAAACATTAACTTCTGAGTTACGTCATGATGGTTGGCTGGTTGTGGGACATCAAAGCACCAGAGGCCAATGTAAACATAAAGTATGATGATAATCAATTCAAATGAAAAGACAAGAAGTCAAAAGGAGTAACAACATGAGGTACTCCAGTCATTAAACTGGGTCACAAACTGTCAAAGTGATTTTAAAGTAAACATTAACTTCTGAGTTACTCCATGATGGTTGGCTGGTAGCATGATTTACTAAATTTGACGTATGATGGTAGCGATCCCAAAGCAAAGGAGATAAATCAAAATGAGAGCAGTAAGTTATAGCAGTCACTGCACTATATTACATGCTGCCAAAGGGATTTTCAGTAAACAATAGCTTCCAACTGAGAATAAATGAACCTGTACTCCGTCAAGAACTTTGTGGTGATGAGCAAAAATTATCATCTTTGAAGCATTCTCTGATCCTGCAATGAGTGGATGGAGGGAAAGCCATTCACGAAACCCAGAAAGCTTTGCAACTCCAAGTTCCTGATAAGAAAGCTTTCCTGATAACAGGAAGGAGATATGAATGAAGAAACTTTTATAACATTCTTACAGTTTGGATAAAATTTAATTCATGCAATGCAACAGCTGTTCAGCGGAAAAAGTCTGTTACAACCATGGCATATATCATTTTCTTCACGTATACATATATAAAATAATACTATCAGAACGATACAAGGGAAAGTAGCATGGCAATTCTCTTTGAGCAGCATTAAAAACCATGCAACATTTTATTAAAGTATAAGCAAAACATTGAATGAGCACATTTTGTTGTTGTTAACTGGTATTATCAGGTTTTATTGTTAGGAAGTCAATTAGGTTTGGTTTCCTATTTTTCTCAGTTGAAGAGTTGGCTGATAACGTTATCAGATCACAAAGGCTGCAACTGGACTTCCTACTTTTTGGGGTCTTATTGGACTTACTTGTGATTTTTGGTATTATTTGTCTTTTTGGAATCATGAGGAAATTCTAAACCATCTAGGGTTAGGACTAGAATTCAATCATTCAAATGATTAGCACATGGTATAAGAGTTTCAAATGATTAGCACATGTTAGAGATGTTTACATAAACTATTCATGTGTCTTTACCTAACAGTTTAAGCTTTTGAGATTGTTCGTTCACCGCATGATATAAAGTTTAAATGACCAAGTAGTATAAAGTTTGATCCTTACCACTACCATTCTTCTAATAAAAGGTAGAATTTCAGCACATAATCGGTGGCCTTGTGCATCATCTATACTTCAAGCCCAAAGGGCTCTTGTATGAGGAGGCGTGTTAGAGATGTTAATATAAAACCATTCACGTGTCTTTATCTAATAGCTTAAACTTTTGAGATATTTGATTCATGACAATCATTATGTAGTAATTGGTTTAGTACAGAATTTCAAAAACATTTGAGCCTGCCTTCTCTGGATTTTTTTGCCACAATTTCATTCTAATAAGCAAGGCCTTAAATACAAATGAACTGAAAGCAATTATGTGATACAACAGTTGAAACGCAAATCCAGCACTTTACTACAATAGAGGCAACGTTAGCTAACAATACCTTCAGATTCATCCAAATTTTCCAAAGGCGTGTCATCACTTTCACTTTCAGAGGCATCAATCTTCAATACACCAACTGCAGTTTTGGCAGCAACTATATCAGATCTCTTCAACAGCAAATTTATAATTTGCCGGCGTTTTGGAGGTAACTGTAGCAACACATGTTCCTTCATACGCCTTATCTACGATACATGAAAGGCATAATAAGACAATATGTTTACAATGTAGGAGAAATATCATGAAGCATTGCTATGCTCAATCGAGGAGACATAATAAAATAAACACTGATGAAGTATTTAAATGTAAAAAGTGGCAGTCAGTAAACCAAATAAACATTAAAGTCAAAAGCACTAGAACAAAATTATCCCAGAAAGCCTTTGTTTGCAAAATAAGTAATAAGCAGTTGGTATGAAATTTATGGAATATGTTAACGCGAACCCAATATACAACTACTTAAAAAAGAGTAAAGTATGTATGGTCTTATATACTAAAAAAAGGACTGTTAGAAGTATTGAAAACAGATTGATAAGAAGTTCCACATCATTATGTTAGTCTTATGTAATTCTTAGTCACTCTGTATAGTAGAGCCTCCGTTGTGCAATTGAAACAAGGATTTAAACATTTTCCTTCTTTTTTCTATGTATTCAACATGGTATCAAAACGGTACCATCCTCCGTGTCCTGTCCCGTCGCTATTCCGCTATTGAGTTCCCTAAATTTCAAAACACTTTGTTATTTATTGTTTTCATAGACTCTTTGTTAATTGCATCTCAAGCAACCGTCGTTTCTTATTGGCCACAACCCCAACTATCTTCCACCTTGACTGGCCACCGCCAGCCTCCATGGCCGGCAACTTTTTGGCAGTCCTCACGATGATCCTTTTTGTCCAAGACCCACCGACAACCTCTTATCTGACACACTCTCACTAGCCTTTTCTTTTCTTGCACTATTGTTCATGCACTTTTTTTCTTGTTCGTTATAACCCATGGCTGATTCTAGTTCCTATGTCCCTCTAAAGGAAGCTCCGAAGCCTAAGGTACCCATTTTCAACAATTATGTCAATGCTCCACTTTGAAAAGAGAAAGTTAGCTGCCCATACTCTTCACCCATCCAGATCTGATTTGTCTTAGTTGTGGGTGTTCCTCTTTTTAGGTTTTTCTGATTCTTTTTGCTTCAGTTCAAAATGGGAGAACACAATTCTAGCATAACCACACTCTTCTCTCATCAGAGGTGACCCTTTGAATTGTTTGTCTCTTTTTTTAATGCCAATATAGCATTGAAAGGAAGAAGTTTAGAAGTTGCACTCTAGTCTCGTCAGATCGTCACAATTATTGCTTGGCCCCACCGAATTGTCCCAGTTGTCAACCAGCCCTATTGGTCTATGTCCAAGTTATTGCCTAGTCTAGTTAGAATTTTTGTCCCAGCTACAGACTGGCCTTGTTTGATTTTGTCTTTAGACATGCTTTCATTGGGTCTTCTATGTTTTCTTGTGGTTCAAGCCTCCAAATGTCGTTCTTGAAGAATTTAGAGAAGTTTTAGTTCTTGCTGGGTATACTTGCTTGCCATGACATTTTTCATTGATGGTCATTACAACAAGGTCTCTTCTTCCTTGGTTTCGCAATATGATACGAATCTTAAGAGAACCTCACCCCAAAAGCTAGCTCATAAGGTAAGAGAGCCCAAAGTCCATATAAATCCCATACCAGAACCTTATGTTTCCGATGTAGAACTCCAAATCCTATACCTTAGAGTAGGATCGTAACATTCCACCATGCTCTGTAGCCTCGGCGCTCACTCGGGCTGGCTTTGCACTAGTCTTTTACTATCCCTGGCTGAACATTGCAATGTCAGCGTCACCACCTGCACCGCTCGATTACAACTAGAAGACATAGTGAAAGGCTTTGATAACAATTGATATGAATCTTGGGAGAACCTCACCCCAAAAGCTAGCTCGTAAGGTAGGAGAGCCCAAAGTCAATAAAAACCCCACACCAGAACCTTACATTTCCGATGTGGGACTCCAAGTCCCATTACCTTGGAGTAGGATCGCAACACAATATTTCAACTCATTTTTCGGGCTAATAGTCATTCCAACCACCTTTGATTTTGATAACTCACTTTTAGTGAGTTATGTGGGTTTCATAGTTGAATACCTATGGACCTCCTTTTTAGCATAACTAAGAAAATATATGCCATTAATGATTAAAATGCAGGTGTTGTGACTACAACTTTTGGAAAAAGTTGTGTTAGTTTTATAAAATAAAGCTAAAAGAACTCTTTTTATGTATGTAGTCTTATAATAACTGTTAGAAATATTAGAATAGGAAATATTAGATATGATTAGATTTGATTAAATTACTTCCTATTTGTTAATATTCTGGGCTTCTCACTTAAGCCCATTAGGATCTCTATATATTGTAACTCTTTGCATTAGGTTAATACACAATTGAATACAATATACCTTCATATTATTCAAGTTGGTATCAGAGCTAATATTCTGGGAAACCTCTTCCGCATAAAACCCCTATCTCGCCGTGCATCATACCGGCAACCCCCTTTTTTTTATTTTTCTCTCTAACCCTTACTTAATCACAAAATACTTATCCTCAGCCTTGAATTGTCAAAGACCATCCTCCTCAACCTCGAATAGGACGACATCAGCCTCCGTTTGCCGCCGGAACCACCGTTAGCTACTGTTCACGGTCACCGGAAAACTTTTCCGGCGACGGTTTCCACCAGACCACCTACGATCAGGCTCTCCTTCCTCCGGTGACCGTTTCTGTTGAAGTCCCATCACCGGCGGCCACCCCACGCGCGGCTTCTCTGTCTGCGCGTGGTGCTCACGCGCCTCCTTTCACCGGCGCGTGAGCACTGTTCCGGCCACCTTTTCCGGCCATTCCAGGACAGACAGGCTCGCCTTTCTCCCCTCTTTCCAAATCTGCCCTCCGTTCGTTGTGGGTCTCGTCCGTTCAGAATACATCAGTAATTTACGTTGTTCTTGGTCTCGGTCCTTTGTTGTTTTTCATTGGTATTCTGATTTTTATTCTGGTTTTATATTCTGGTCATCTTGTTTTAATTTTTCTGTGATGGAGAGCTTAGGTAGTGCATCCAAAAACATTACTGGCCACATCTCTAGTACTACCCCATCACCATTCTTTTCTCGGGCCAATGATTCCAATTGGAACAGTGGACGCGGACGTGGCCGCAAACAGAGGCCTCGTTGCAATTATTGTCAGAATCTTGGGCATTTTGAAGAACGCTGCTATAGGAAGTACCCTCATTTGAAGCCACTGACTGCCAACTTTGCTCAAATTGATGCTACACTTCCTTCTATTGGATTAGTAACTCTTTCAAGTGCCGACTATGAGGCACTTCTCAAGAAGGTTTCTTCTCAACATCCTACTTAAGACACTAGTAATCATGTTGCTTGTTTTTATCAATCATCTCTTGAACCCTGGATAATAGACTCAGGTGCTACTCATCATCTTTGTGGTAATAAAGATCTCTTCACTTCACTTTCTTATTCTAATAACCTGCCCCCTTTCACTCTTGCTGATGGCACTAAGGCTCCTGCTCGTGGAATTGAGGAAGCCAACCCAACTCCTCTTTTAACTTCTGTTTATTATATACATGGCATTCCTTTTAATGTAATCTCTGTTAGCCAGTTGATTCATTCTCTTTCATGTACCGTTACCTTCTCTAAACAATCCTTTTCTATGCAGGATTCGGGTACGGGGAAGACGATTGGAGCAGGCATTGAGTCACGAGGTCTCTACTATCTGATTGCACCACCTTCTCCAGTAGCTTGTTCTCTCACAGAGTCTCCTGAGCTAATTCACAGCCGTCTGGGTCATCCAATCCTCTCCAAGCTTCAACATATGGTTCCATTTTTATCCAATCTTAAGTCTTTAAACTATCATTCTTGTCAGCAAGGAAAGCACATTCGCTCCTCCTTTGCTAATAGAGCCAATAAAAGAGCTGACACTCCTTTTTCTATTGTTCATTCTGATATTTGGGGTCCGAGTCGAACAATGTCTGTTTTGGGTTTTCAGTATTTTGTCACCTTTATTGATGATTTCTCTCGTTGCACTTGGGTTTATTTAATGAAAAATCGGTCTGAATTATTTTCAATTTATCAAAAAATTTGTGCTGAGATAAATACTCAATTTGGTGCCTCTATTCAAGTTTTGCGCAGTGATAATGCAAAAGAATATGTATCTCTTGAGTTGTCTAATTTTTTGGAGAAACGTGGACGTTACACCAGACCACTTGTCCACACACTCCACAACAAAATGGAGTGGCCGAACGTAAGAATCAACATCTGGTTGAAACTGCTCGTACCCAACTAATTCATATGAATGTTCCACTTCGTTTTTGGGCAGATGCTATAATCACCTCTTGTTTTCTCATCAATCGCATGCCCTCTTCCGTACTCAATAACGAAGTTCCACATAGTATTTTATTGAGTAAATACCTTTTTCGGTCCCTAACAAAAAACACGGTCTCCACTTTAGTCCCTTACAAAAATAAATTAGTCAGTTAGTCCCTAACAAATTCAAAGTGGACCCATTTTAGTCCTTTTGAGGGACTAATATGGGTCTTTTTTGAATTTGTTAGGGACCACGATTTCAACTAAATGGGTCCACTTTGAATTTGTTAGGGACTAACTGACTAATTTATTTTTGTAAGGGACTAAAGTGGGAATCATGTTTTTTGTTAGGGACCAAAAAGGGTATTTACTCTATTTTATTTCCAGGAGCACCTTCCTATCCTCTTCCTCCACATGTATTTGGATGTACCTGCTTTGTTCATGATCTTACTCCAGGAAAAGATAAATTAACATCCAAAGTCTTCAAGTGTATTTTCCTTGGATATACTCGTTTTCAAAAGGGGTATCGTTGCTACTCTCCTGATCTCAAGCGTTATACTGTCTCGGCTGATGTCACTTTCCTTGATCAACCACCTTTTCATTCTATCCCATCTCAGATAACACAAGTTGATCAAGTTCTTCTTGTTCCCTTTCTTGATTTGTCTTTACCAGTTGCAGGAGACTTTATCCCGGAGGAGCAGCCCCTTGCCTCCATCCCTGAGGACCGTCCTTTTCTCACCTATCAGCGTCGTCAGACTGCGCCTCCAGCGGATTTAACCCTTACTGACTCACCGCCTGCTGCTGTCGACTCTTC